AGGGGCGGAGAGGCAGCTCTGGCTCGAGTCTTCCGCTGTGTGATCCATGGTCCATGTTGTTTCGGTGCCGGAGTGAATGAAGCCTTAGATGATCGCATCTTCCTTGGCAGAGTAACGTACGGCGTAGATGAACTCGGAGTCAAAGAGTGATTTGATTTGTTAGCGTCGGCGCGTGATGCTTCAAGCGTTGAGCGCCGATCCAGCAGCTCGGCTTGCTTCACCAGCAGACCGCGGATCTGTTTCTCGACGTATTCCAGCTCCTGCTTCACCGTGAAGAGCTCGAATGTGTCTTCATCTGCACTCAAAGGTAATGTTAGACACGCATCTGATATGTTCGCCATTATAACGGATGATCAGTAAATTAGTAGTGATACTACAACTATCACTACTAATTTAGGATTGAAATGTCGGAAATAACCAGGATTCAGTGAAACGGGTGTAAAATGAGACGATCAATAGGCGAGAGGGCACGCGTGGAATGCTAGCGGGCTAAAGGCTAAGTTAGTAGCCAGGATTTAGGGAGGTTGGATATAAGTAGCGATGTCAAAGCAATCCAATTGTTTTTTATAAGGAATACTATCGAGGTGTATTCCTACTAATGAGGTGAATACTACTAATGGTGCTTCTCTTATCCTCATTCAGCATCAGTCCATTGCTACACTTTCACCCTGTTATCAGCTGCCACTCTCCCTCTATCCTGTCCAATCAAATTTGTCACGGCAATGCCGCGGGTGCGGAGGGGAGGGACACGCTGTGCTGATGGTAAAACAAGTAAAACACTTAAATCCTTATTTCTCCCATCTCAGGGGAAAATAACGGAATAAACCATGACCATTCAAAAAAAATGACTGGGTTTCTAAAGATTCAAAGCTGAAGTGTCCCTTTAAGACATGCTTTTTGGGGCATTAAAGGGTTAGTTCACCCAAAAATGAAAATTAAGTCATTAATTACTCACCCCCATGCTGTACCAACCCCGTAAGACCTTCGTTCGTCTTCGGAACACAAATGAAGATATTTTTGATTAAATTTGAGAGCTGTATAACTACCACATTGGCTCCTAAAGGACTGCCTCTTGACGGCCCAGAAAGTCAATGAAGAAAATGTTTAAATATCCCAAGTGACTACCGTGGCTCAACTATATGATTATCAAGCGACGCGAATACTTTTTGTGCGAAAAAACAAACAAAAATAACGAGTTTATTCGACTATTTCTTTTCTTCCTTGTAGGCCAGAACGAAACTTCCTTAGATTTCCACGACGCATGCGCGAGAATTGCGATCTGAAGTAGTGTAAGCTGGTGTGAGCAGATCGCAAATCTCGCGCACGAACGAAGGTCTTACGGGGTTGGTACAGCATGGGGGTGAGTAATTAATGACTTAATTTTCATTTTTGGGTGAACTAACCCTTTAAATAATGGCACATATACAGTAAATTGATAAGCGCAAACCTTATTAAATCATCTTGCATGATTAATTTAAATACTCTCCCATAAACTTTGCACCTGAAAGGGAATTTTCTACAAATGCATATCCAATAAGGGCAGCTACAAAATTAACCCTGTCCACGTCTTTTCAACACTTTTTTTTTTCACTGTGTGTCATTAGTAAATTCTGACAGTATTTGTTTTACGGCAAAAGAGAGTTTGCACTGGCACAATATTTTAGTTAATATGGCACTGAGTGTAGTAATAGTAATGGAAACACCACTAATGTGATCAGTTTTGTCCAGTCTTTAGAGTTTCCTTCTGTTTCACATCTCTGTAAAATTATATCTAGATGCATTTTTATATATCCTATCTATGGAAGATTTCTAGTCTGTTCAAAAGATAAAATAAGTTGGTTTGTTTTTAGCTTTACTGTGCAGCCAAATACTAAGTACTTTTCACTGCAGTAGATGTATCACAAAAACAGCCGCCTTAAAGAGAGGACAGAGGTTGTTACAAATATGGATCTTATTACTTAATAAATAGTGTACTGGGATCAATATAGTAATGCAGTGGTGCATTGTTGCTTCCACATCTTAATTGCTACATCATTAAGTATACATCACCCTCTTCCCAGACTGAGAATGCAACAGAGCTTTACATTCTAATAAAACAAAAGAGAGATGCTTAGTGAGTATTAATTATTTAACATTTTTTATACAACTTTAAGAATAACTCTAGAGAATCCCTTTAAAAGGGTCAGATCGGCTCTGTTCTGTATCTTGGATTTATAATTTTTTATTATTATTAAAACAGTACGTTTTGACACAGTACATTGTCTCCTGCACAAAGTCTACTAGTATTGCTGCTTTGCAATTTATCCAGAATACGGTGTCTTTCCTTTTCAAAAAGCTTAAAATACTGTTTACGAAGGCAACTCACTAGGTTTTGGAACAGAGTATGGGACAACGCTTCCAGATTTATTTCAATGACATGATATTATGGGCTGTCCTTGTGCCCAAATGGATGCTATTTATGGATGAGGCAGCTAAGTAAGAGAGCTGTGTGTAAGGGTATATCAAATCCCCCGGTGTTCTGCTTTGAAATACTGTGAAGGTTGAAGACAGACGTTAAGAAGCAAGGCTGCAGAGTTTCACTCTTGCAGTTTTTGTCAAAGACTTAGATAAGTTGCTCTCCGTCATACTGCAGTCACAGCACTCCTTCTTTTATTGCCGTGTATTGCTGCTTCCTGCATCATATGCGGTTTTCTGTCAATATTCATAAAGCCATCATGTCATGCACGTGCTCTGCAGAGTAATCCTGTCTAAACCTGCCCCTGCAGACCACCAGGTTCACCCTGAAACAGATCAGACAAGCCATTACTGAGGATCGTGATTGGCTGAGAGAGGTTTGGATTAAACCCCCTGGTCTTCTGCAGATGGATGTGTCACTCTGGGAGAGCTCAGACTGTTGGTTTATAGATGGCAGTGATAAAATTCATCAAATAATATTGTAGACTACAAATCACAGTGCTGGTCAAACTGTTCACAAAGCCCTAGCAACAACTCAACATCTTAACAGCCACATTGTAATACCCTAGAAACCACTTGGAATGCATCCTAGCATTGTGGCAGTGAGTTTTTCCAAGGGCAAAACCACTCACATTTTCTTCAGAAACTCAAAAAAACTCTGTTGGCTGTTTAAAGGACGCATTTTTTTGTGTGTGTTTACTTGTATAAATATTAAATACTATTTTTGTTTTCATATTCTAGTAATCAGATGCAGGAGGTTGAGGTGACTGTAGAAGGGTGAAAATCCTGGAAAAGATTCACTAGCAAACGTGTGCTACTTTAATGTTTTCGAAGGAGCATCTTCAGTTACCACAGGGCAAATATGGGCGTAACCTATAACGCCTACTCTATCGTACTTAATATCCAAATTTACAAGGCGTCTAAATTATTAACATGATCAAAAGTTTGCTGAAAAGTCTGTTATATACAATCTTTTCCATGCCTTCTGTCATCTCACTGCTAGCCAACACATATGATGAAGGATACGCTGTCGTTTTCAAAACCATTAGTATAAAACAAAACATGCAGGAGATCGCTAAAGTATCAAGGAATAAACGCAAACCCCACAATGTATCAATAGCCGCGTTTTCATTACCCTTCAAATTGCACAAATTGAAAAACTCCCATATATCGCAAAACAGGCTCGCATGAGGTTTTTCAGGCAGTTTGAAAAAGCAATGTTTTGCAAAACTGCAATGGAAACAGTTTTTGCGCATTTACATGTCATCTGACGTAGATGGTTCGGTATGTTTGAACAGAAGACGAGACAAGTAAACCCGCTCACAAGTATATTTTCTTGCCATTACTGCTTGGATAACGCGCCTATTTGCCATGATTTTTTTTTTTAACTTTTCAGTCACATAACATCGGTTAATGGAAAGGTTAACATCATCGCTTTTTTATTGACATTTAGAAAATATCTCAAAGGTTTTGCGCAAATCAGGGCTATAAATACATGGGACAAACTAAGGAAACCAAACTAGACACGGGTAAAATGAATATGTGTAGGAAGGAGGAGTCAAGTGGAAGGCTGAGGTGTAGCCGGAGGCCCGGAAGTCCATGTCAGAACCAGGGTTGATGATGAACCAAGGTGGATCTGGAGGTACTAGGGAGCTCGAGGGATGACGGACCACGGTGGAGCCGAGGGAACTCAGAGCTCTGCACCAAATTGTATATTTTGCTCAGATTTGATTTTTTTTTCTTAAAAAAAGGTTTAAAAAATATTAAATAAAAAAATCATGTTGATTTGCTTGCTCTCTTTGCCATTTCTGTTTGATTACAGTGTTAAGTAAAATTTCAAGGACAGAAAGTGTCTGTGTTGACAGATCCTATAACATGGATCAATGGTTCAGAACACGGTTGCCAATTTAAATGGATTTTAGTAGTGAAGGCTCTGAAAGTCATATGTGTTCAAATGCCACAAGTCATGTGTAATATGTGGTTGTGATATCTGAGCTTGAGTATTTACAAGCCATTTTATTTCCATATGTGAAGTCAATTGCAAATATTAACTTCTAAGTGAAAAGGGATGCTCACCAAAAAATAATGAAGGGGAGGATTTTTTTTTTCAGTAGGAATTGATTGGGAAAATCCTAAATAATTACCTTTAAAGGAGAACTCCGAACAATGAACCTTTGGTCTAATAAAACATCGGTACATAGTCAACCGTTCTCTGAGATTTGTTTTCATGATAATCGAATGTAAAGAGTTTTATCTCTAAAAACTGTTTAGCGTATAGTAATGGGGTCATTCACTAAGTAACAAGAAATCGCTAGTTTATACCACTAATAAGGCTCAAAATAGCCCCACACTAACGCTGTAACATAATGAGGCTCCATACATGCAAAACGAAGCATTGAGAACTTTGTAAGTGTACAGACCGTTTAAGATACTTTATGAAGAAAGTTCACTTCGCGTATACAGACAGGAGCCATCTTAAAAAATAGAGTACATACAGAGTACATAATCCACACTGACTTTCACCCTGCTTTCTCTGTTCCAGCGGTGATGTCGCGCACCTACGAGGCTCCAGGTGAAATGGGGAAGGCTGTGATTATTCCCAAAGATGAGCAGAATAGAATGAAAGATCTCTTTAAGATTAATCAGTTCAACCTGATGGCCAGTGACATGATCACGCTCAACAGGAGTCTGCCAGATGTTCGGCTAGACGGGTGAGCACGTGTGTGTTTGTACAGACAAATCATGATCACATTAATGACTCTAATCACAGGATCCAATATGCTGCCAAAATTCCAAAAAACACAAATCAGTTGTCCTTTGTGTTTTATAAAGAATACAATGACAAGAAACTCAAACAAAAATAGACTTTTTATGTTTCTTTTTTAATGATATAAACAGCAATAATTTGTCATTTCTATAGTGAAAAATACAGACATTTATTAGTACATTTATTAGATGAATGGCATGTGTGCTTACCTTGAAATTCATGGTTACATTTGCCATCAGCCCTGCTAGCCTGTTTGAGTTTGACAATTCAAGTTTTACATGAGAGTACCTGTCTTCATTGAAACAAATTAGCCTCAAGGACTTTCCACAATGAAACAGTTTCAGTATAAAAATACTATTTTTATGTGATTTTTCCTCATGAACCACTTATCAAAATGTTATAATACAAGGCCCCAGGTATGAAGTCATTTTGAACTAAATCTGGCCATAGCAAGGTTTGTTAGAAGTTTGCTTCGGTGGTTCCAAACATCTGACCAGTGCATACTTTCTAGAAATCTTTGCGCTGGCTGTCAAACACCTTCAATATTCTATTGGTCCATGATGATTACATAATAGGTTGGTGTGCTCTGGATGCAAGAGGGTATTTGTCATCGCAGTGGTAACATTTTTGTGGTTTTGTACACATGCATTCTAAATCTAGCAATTTTTCTGGGAGAATAGGGTAAGATTATGAATTGATTAGATGTGTTTGTGTTTGTTAGTTGAGCTGATATATTGTACGCAAATATCAACCAAAAATACACAAGCCCAATTAGATGACAAAATAAAACATCACATGGAAGTTTGGATTTTTTTAAGGTCAATACATATGTTTAATATGTACTGAAAACATCTGTCCATCTGTTTTGGAAATTTAAAATGAAATGATTTGAGTTAAAATATTTTAAACATCCATTTTGTCATGCACTCTAAAAAATGCTGGGTTGTTTAAACCCAATTTTGGGTCAAATATGGACAAACTCAAACATTGAGGTAAAAATGTAATTTAAAAATGTAACCCAATGGCAGGGTTTGTCCATATTTTACCCAAAATTGGGTTAAAACAACCCAGCATTTTTTAGAGTGTGAGATATTTTTTTATTAACGTTCAACAAGAATAGGTGGTAAGGATTAAAACATAGTTTAGTTACTGTTTATTATTATTATCATTATTTATAATTGTTAAAGCTCCAGATTATTGTACAGTAGTTTCGTGAAGCATTTAACTGTCACTACATTCCCTTAAGATTGTAAAATGAAGCATTGAAGTCAAACAAATGTGAACAAAAATGCCATATCTTTGGTAAACTGCAGAGCAAATGCTGCTTCCAAGAGAATCATACATCAGCAAATGCAGGGAGGGGTGACATCCTTCAGTATGCTGAACAGTGGCATAACTCAAACGCACCAGATGAATGTGGCATGTTTTGCTCTAACAGCTCTCTGGGATTTCATTATGTAACTCGAATGGCTCTTTGGATTCTGTAAACAAAGACCTTTTTCATTGCACTGAGAAAGAAAGAGGGAGGAGAACAACTGGATTTTTTACACTTCCTGAAGAAAATTTCAGTAGTGCTTCCTTTATGTTTGCTAAGGTGTTATTTGGAGTGGTTTTAAGATGTGTTGCTTGGCTATTAAACATTGTTATGTGATTGCTTACCAGCCCAAGTTAATAGAGCCTACCTCCAAGTCTAGAAATTCTGGTCTCAAAAGATATATTGCTCTGGTCTCTCCTTAAATTTAAGTCTGTGGAATAATGCTATTTTATCATCTACCAGGTGAAAATTGTTGAAAATGTCAGATCACTTACAAAACTAATAGCCAACAAGCTGCTTGATTTGAGGAATCATTTATGCCAATACCACATTGTGGAACGAGTTACATGCTTAAGTTTAATAATTTGTGGTTATGGGTTTGTTTAAATCACATCTATGAGCAATAGAAATAGTGAGGGTGGCCACTGGCCATAGCAAGCACTATTCATGAATACTTTAGAAAATCATGTAAGAAAACGTCCTCGGGTTACGACTGTAACCCTTGTTCCCTGAGAAGGGAACGAGAACTGCGTCCAAGTGACACTTTGGGGAACGCCCCTCAGCGTAGCGTCTCTGAAGCATGAATGAAACTAAGCCAATCTCCGATTGGATCAACGTGATGACGTGATGTGTGACGACACATAGGCGGAAGCATATATAAGGAACCGGCACACACAACATGTCAGCTTCTGTGATGAAGCAAGCGCTCCCAGGCAGGGGAAGGCGTGGCCACGAGACGCAGTTCTCGTTCCCTTCTCAGGGAACAAGGGTTACAGTCGTAACCCGAGGACGTTCCCTATCGAGGGAACTCAAACTGCGTCCAAGTGACACTTTGGGGGAACGAGTACCCACTACGCCACAACGCGCCCTGCCTGTCCTGGTGTGAAGCTGCTCACAGGCACACTCAGGACGCGAGCACAAGAGAGCCGGGTGTCGACGGAATGTCTAAGCTGTAAAACCTAATGAAGGTATGTGGGGTAGCCCATCCAGCTGCATCGCAGACTTCCTGGATGGGGGCCCCTGCGAGAAGGGCCCTAGAGGATGCTATGCCTCTAGTGGAATGGGCCCTCACAGCCAAAGGTGAAGGCATACCGCGCACCTGATAAGCTGTGGAAATCGCATTGACAATCCAGTTGCTGATGGTTTGTTTTGAGGCCGGAAACCCCTTTTTGGGCGACCCGAAACATACCAGCAACTGGTCCGCCTTCCGCCATGAAGAGGACCTCTGAATATATATCCCTAGTGCTCTGACAGGGCAGAGCCTATGAAGTCTCTCCTCATCCGCCGTCAGGTGAGGTGGGGGATGAAATGCCTGCAGAACCGTAGGCCGTGCCACATTAGATGGCACCTTAGGCAGATAGCCAGGCCTAGGGTGAAGGATGGCCTTAATGTTGCCTGGAGCAAACTCCAGGCACTCGTTAGATATGGAGAGCGCCTGAAGATCTCCCACCCTCCTCAGAGAAGTGATGGCCAACAGAAAAGCGACCTTCAGCGTTAGGTTCTTGGCCTCAGCCGACTCCAGTGGCTCGAAGGGGGCCTCAGCCAATCCTTCTAGAACTACTGCCAGGTCCCAAGAGGGAACCCTGGTACGAGCCGCAGGTCTCATCCTCCAAGCTCCACGGAGGAAACGTACGATCAATTGGTGTCTCCCCAGAGACCCATCACCCAACGGAGCGTGGAAAGCCGCAATGGCAGCCACGTACACCTTGAGCGTGGACGGGGTAAGACCAGAGGAGAAGCGATCTTGGAGGAACTCCAGCACTGAAGCCACTGGGCAGTTAACTGGGTCAACCTCACGCCTCCTACACCAATCAATAAACACATTCCACTTTAAACCATACAGTTTCCTCGTGGAGGGAGCTCTAGAGCTGAGTATGGTCTCCACTACTCCAGCTGACAGGCCGGCCTCTAGGTACTGTGCCCCCTCAGGGGCCAGACCCACAGTTTCCATAACTCCGGCCGAGGGTGAAATATTGAGCCCCCCGCCTGTGTCAGCAGGTCCCTCCTGAGGGGAATCTCCCACGGAGGGCCGTCTAGGAGCAATATTATGTCCGAGAACCATACTCGGGCCGGCCACAACGGGGCTACCAACAGTAGACTGATCCCGTCGCGACGGACCCTTTCCAGAACTCCCGGGAGCAGAGCGATCGGGGGAAATGCATACAGACGCAGCCTCGGCCACGTCTGCACCATAGCATCCAGCCCCAGTGGGGCTGGAGGGGTGAGGGAAAACCACAGCGGACAGTGGGTCGTCTCTCGAGACGCAAACAGGTCCACTTCCACAGGGCCGAACCTCTGACATATCGACTCCACCACCTCGGGGTGAAGTCTCCAATCCCCGGGCCTCAGCCCCTGTCTCGACAGGACGTCTGCTCCCTGATTTAGACTTCCCGGGATGTATGTTGCTCTCAGAGACAACAGTTTCCCCTGGGACCACAGGAGGATCTGATGCGCCAGTCTGCATAGAGGGCGAGACCTCAGGCCCCCCTGATGGTTTATATAGGCCACCACTGACATGCTGTCTGACCTCACGAGGACGTGATGACCTCTGAGGTCCGGCAGGAAGCTCCTCAGAGCCCGGGAGACCGCCAACATTTCCAGGCAGTTTATGTGCCAGGAGGAATGATGGTCCCGCCATAGGCCTGTCGTGAAGCGGCCGTCCATGACCGCGCCCCAGCCCGTGAGGGAAGCGTCTGTCGAAGCGGTTTTCCGGCGACATGGCGCTCCCAACACTGGACCTTGGGACAAGAACCAAGCTTTCTTCCACATAACCAGAGAACGAAGGCATCTGCGCGTAACTCTGATTGTGCGGAACGGGTTTCCCCTCGGGGAGAACCCCTTGGTTTTTAACCACCACTGGAGGGCCCTCATGTGCAGCAGGCCAAATGGAATGATGTTGGACGCTGCTGCCATGAGTCCCAGCACTCTCTGGAAATGCTTGACAGTGACGGCTTGGCCTAGCTTTATCCCAGCCACTGTGGCCAGAATGGACTCGACTCGCGCAGGCGACAATCGTGCCCGCATTACGACCGAATCCCATACCACTCCCAGGAACGTAGTCCTTTGGGCTGGTATCAACACGCTCTTCTTCGTGTTTAGTCTCAACCCCAGTTTCTGGATGTGGGCAAGAACAACATCTCGATGCTGAACCGCCAGCTCTTGAGACTGGGCCAAAATCAGCCAGTCGTCTATATAGTTGAGCACCCTGATGCCCTGGAGCCTCAGAGGTGCTAGAGCTACATCCATACATTTGGTGAATGTGCGGGGAGAGAGAGCTAGGCCGAATGGAAGAACCCGATATTGGTACGCTTCGCCCCCGAAAGCGAACCTCAGGAACTTCCTGTGGGATGAAAGGATGGATATATGAAAGTATGCGTCCTTCAGATCTATCGTGACGAACCAATCCTCGGATTGGATCTGACTCACGATCATGGGAATAGTGAGCGGTTCAGATATCTGAGATCTATGATCGGACGCAACCCCCCATCTTTTTTGGGAACTATAAAGTAGCGGCTGTAAAACCCGGACTCCCTGTCTAGTGGAGGAATATGCTCTATGGCCCCCTTTGCCAGCAGGGAGTTTACTTCCTGTTCCAATACCCGACCCTGCGTCGGGTTGACTACAGTCCAGACCACCCCGTTGAATCTGGGTGGGTGGAACCCGAACTGCAGCCTGTACCCGTATTGTATCGTGCGCAGCGCCCACGGGGAAATATTCGCTAGATTTTTCCATGCATCGAAATATTTCGCCAAGGGAACCAGGCTCTCGAGCCTGGTTTCGGGTATTAATCGGGATTCGTTCTCGACCGCCTGAAACGAATCTCCGGCAGGACTGGACCGAAAACGATTCTCGATGGGCGAACGCAATCGCTGCCCGTCCGCAGGCTCGTGGGGCGGACAAAGCAGCTTGCGATCGCTGGAAACCGATGCGTCCCGAAACGTACTTGACGGCGGGAGAACAACATCGATTTCCTGCGGGCTCCGCGAGGGAGACGACCTCAGTCGCTCCATCACGGGTGGGGCCGCCCGCAGAGATCCTAGCACTGCTAGGACCTCTTAGATGTTTTCTTAGCCTGCAGGACGGCCCTCAGGTCGCCCTGCTTGGCTTGCGGCTTAGATTGAGAGCGCCGTCTATGCCCCCAAGCTCCTTGAGGGGGGGCTCTAGACGCGACGCTCTCTCTCTGAACCTGCCTGTAGGTGGAGGAGCTGGTACCTGGCTGAGGCTGCGACTGCCCACTGGGGGCAGACTTCCCGGATACTGAGCGACGAGGGAGAAATTGTTTGAAGGCCGCTGATTGATTTTTCGCCTCCTGAAACCTGTCGACAACGGTATTAACAGTGTCGCCGAACAGGCCAGAAGGCGAAATCGCGCATCAAGGAGGAAAGCCCTGTCTTTCTCCCTGATGCCCGTCAGATTTAACCATAAATGTCTCTCCGAGACCACCATTGCCGCCATGGAGCGACCGACAGCGCGGGCCGTCTCTTTGGTGACTCGGAGAGACAAATCAGCGACCTTCCTCAACTCCGCCACCGTGTGAAGACTTGCACCAGCCCGACCCGCAGCCATATATGCCCTGCCCACCAGTGAAGATGTTTCTCTGCATGGCTTGGTGGGCAGCACCGGGGCTTTAAAGGATGATGCCGACTCAGGTGATAAATAATTAGCCAAAGGCTGTTCAACCCGCGGCATCATCCCATAACCATTCTCTCGTGCCCCCATGATATTACTATATTTTAATATAGTGGGATTGGAAACACGAGAAGAATGGGGTTTCTTCCACGATTTACACACCTCAGTATGCAAATCGGGAAAAAACGGTAAGCCCCGATGATGAGGTTGTTCCCTGTGCTGCAGGAAGCGCTCATCTAATTTGCTTTTAACTTGCACTTCCTGCTTTTCTTGTGGCCAATCGATCTTTAAATGAGCCACTGCACGGGAAACAACCTCTACCAGCTCCTCATATGCGGGGACACGGGGTGGCGAGTCATCCCCGAAGTCCCCGCCCCCTTCGATGCTGAGCACGTCCACCTCCTCGGAAGCAGACAGCTCAAGCATCGGATCCTCGACTCGCGCAGAAGAAGCCGCCGAGCGGGCTTCTGCGCGAGGCTCGAGGGCATCGGAACTGTCCGATGAATCCCGAGAAGGTGCCTCAGCAGCCTCGGGATCCCCAGACAGATCCATTTGCGAGCCCCATGAAGAGCGTCGCCGCGCCGCCTCGGCGGACGCGGGTCCCGCACCACGGGGCTCACGAGGCTGACCCTCTTCATTGAAAAGGGCCAGCCGGGAACGCAGCACGCGGAGCGGTAAAGCCTCACAATGCTCGCAAGCAGCTCCCTCGAGAGCTGCCTGCGCGTGCTGCATTCCCAGACAATGTGTACACAGTTGGTGTGTGTCCCCGCCCGTGATGTAGCGAGGGCAAGGGTGCACACACCGCCTGAAATTCACACTCGCCATTATTTAGATTTTAGGGAGATATGCTTAGACAGACAAACAATAAATAAGACTGACAGTCACAGAGAGCGCTTAGCTGAAGAACAGAAAGCTGACATGTTGTGTGTGCCGGTTCCTTATATATGCTTCCGCCTATGTGTCGTCACACATCACGTCATCACGTTGATCCAATCGGAGATTGGCTTAGTTTCATTCATGCTTCAGAGACGCTACGCTGAGGGGCGTTCCCCAAAGTGTCACTTGGACGCAGTTTGAGTTCCCTCGATAGGGAACCTTGGGGTGAAATTAAATCAATTTGTCTTCTAGAGCAACAACATTGGTGTAATATTGCAGTGAAAAAACTCAGCATCTCTATTGTTTGTGCAATTCACTCACTGCATACAGCAGAAATCTCCTGTGGGTCACTGTGGTATTCATAGATAGATGCTGCACGCCATCATCTGTAATCTGTCTCCAGTTTGTACCCTTTTGCCCCCATCCTGTCTGTGCACACAAAGAGAATCAGAAACCCTTCCCTAGCTGCTCATCCATCTTTCTGTTTTTCAGCTCACTCCATCTCCAGTGCAGTTTCATGCTTTATTCAGGATCTCTTGGTGATGCTAGCCACTAGCTATCTAGGTGATGTAGCCACTAGCTAATGTGGCTATATTAGGACAGCAGCTGAATACACTTGTTAGTTGTATACTTGACAGTCAATACTCGTGCATAATACACTTGACAGTCCTTTTTAATTCACTTTATGGAACAGAAAGACCAGATTATGTTACTGAAGTGATTTAGGCTTTTACTGTGGGAACCATTTCATGCTATTTTTATATAATTATGGTACGCAGAGGGTCATTATCTTGCTTGATTGATAATTAGATGCCATTACCATGTTTCTTGCAAAAAGCATCTTTTTTCATTGAGAGCCGTTTTATAGTCATCTATCTAATTTAAAATTTGCAAGTAACACATTTCTCAGTCTGCTGAAGAGGATTTTTTTTGTATGAAATCAATGTTCACTATCATTGTCAGAGATCAACAATGATTTAATGTTGTATTAATGCAACCTGGGACAAATATGTCTTGAAAGTGTAAGACTGGAAAACTGGATCTCAGTTTTGGTCTCACCAGTGCCCTCTGAAGACAAATGACATTGCTTGCAAAATTCACATTTGACACCCTACCCCCTCCCTCTGAACTACATCTTTCTCTCTCCCTCTCTCTCAGTCAGTCAATGACACTGAGAACTCACACAAGAATCTGGTTTTAATGTGAATGTGATAATCATTAAGGAGTGTTTGATATCATTTAGAAAGTCTCAGGGTAACTGGTAATATGTCTCAAGTCATTCCCAAAGAAATAAAAGAAAAGGTAATAAGGTTTTAAGAATATAGAAATATCTTGAACACAGAAGGTGTGTCTTTTAGTTAAAACCTTCTGCCTTGTTGTCTGAATGCAAATTACAACCAAGCAAATGGTCTGCCCCCAATAAATATGGTTGGGGGATTCAGTAACTTTCCATTGTAACCTGGTGATTTATATATCAAGTCAGGTCTGATTATAAAGGGAGATGTAACTAGAGTCTGGGGCTGCCTTTCTGTATTCAGATCAGCCCATGATGTTGTGTCTTCAAGGCTCAGCTCATGTAGCCTAATATGTTGGGTAAAGTTCTTTGTTCTAGAAACATTGATGGTTTGCATTCATTATCTTGTGGAACTGTAATAATACATTTACCTCACATAATAAATTGTTATATTTGGCTATTCTAACAGACTTAAAAGGAATAGTCAAGCATTAACATATTAAATGATGCATAGATATCATTGATAAACCCTTTTCATTTTATGGAGTCAGATGAAACGAGTTAATACATAAGATTTAATGTATTGCAAAGTATTAAATTTAAAAATGTATTTAATTAAACATCACTTTGCCATGGGAAAGACTGAACATGCTTGAAACATTCACCACGAATCGAATTCCGCCATTGGGCCGATTTCGTGCCGGATTTTACAAAAGCTAAGCACAAAATGCTACAATGATTCACAATATACTCTATTACCATAACAAAGTTTTAAATTTTTATTGCAATTTTAACCTTATGGTCTTTTCCTTTCACCACATAACTATTTAGTAACACACAAGATATCCCATATATACTAAATAGCAAATCTCATCTGCTTGTTTATATTGTTACAAAATGTAAACTATATTTGTGCCCGCCCTTATGTTTACCTGCATACATTCAGTACACAGTAGAAAGCAATATATACTATAGCATCTTGGCTGCTTGATTGTTTGTGTCGCCACAAAATGTATTCTATATTTTATTACCCATCAGCTCTAATGTGCTAAATGCAAGGAATAAAGATCTTAACATTTCATCAACATTAACATAATAATTGTCTTTTAAACTGCTTTGAAACAATATGTATTGTGAAAGGTCAAATAAATCTGACTTACTTGACTCTGTCTAAACATGTTTCTGTTCTTGTCTGTTCCTCAGCTGTAAGACGAAGACATTCCCCGATGAGCTTCCAAACACCAGCATTGTGATCGTGTTTCATAATGAGGCATGGAGTACACTCCTAAGAACCGTACACAGCGCCATAAACCGCTCGCCCAGACACCTGCTGCTTGAGATACTACTTGTGGATGATGCCAGCGAGAGAGGTCCTAATCACATCACTAAATTTACTGATTGTATTAATTATGCTTCCATGTTGAGTTGTTCACATGGTATCACTCTAGCAGTCAGTGGCAGAATAACTTAGTGTAATTCTAAAACCCAGAATCCAGAAAAGTTGGGACATTTAGTAAAATGTAATAAGTTCAAGAATCTAATTTGTTAATTTTTTAACCTTTATTTAACTGACAAATGTACAAAGAAAAAAAATATCCAATGTTTTCTCTCACCAACTTAAAGGGTTAGTTCACCCAAAAATGAAAATTAAGTCATTAATTACTCACCCCCATGCTGTTCCAACCCCGTAAGACCTTCGTTCATCTTCGGAACACAAATAAAGATATTTTTGATTGAATCTGATAGCTGGATCACTCCTCCATAGACTGCCTAAGGGACTGGCTCTTGACGGCCCATAAAGTCATTAAAGAAAAGGTTTAAATATTCCATGTGCCTACAGCGGCTCAATTATAAGTTTATCAAGCGACGAGAATACTTTTTGTGCGAAAAAAACATAAATAACGACTTTATTCCACTATTCCATTACTTCCTTATGGGCGCATGAGCGAGAACTGAGACGAGGACGTTCTCATTCGTCTACTTCTTGTTACCGGCTGCTCACCGCTTAGGAGTTTTACCGCCCCCTACCGTATAAGATGATGTGCTGATATAGCTGGAAGCGCAAAACTTTCTGTTTACAAGCAGAGGAAGATGCGCGCTGTACATACACTTTTCAATTTGCGTATTTTCCGCACTATAAGGTGCACTTAAAAGCCTTTAATCTTCTCAAAAAACGACAGTGTTCCTTATAATCCGGAGCGCCTTATATATGGATCATCATTTTATACGGTAGGGGGCGGTAAAACTCCTAAGCTGTGAGCAGCCGGTAACAAGAAGTAGACGAATGAGAACGTCCTCGTCTCAGTTCTCGCTCATGCGCCCATAAGGAAGTAATGGAATAGTGGAATAAAGTCGTTATTTATGTTTTTTTCACACAAAACGTAGTCTCGTCGCTTGATAAACTTATAATTGAGCCGCTGTAGGCACATGGAATATTTAAACCTTTTCTTTAATGACTTTATGGGCCGTCAAGAGCCAGTCCCTTAGGTATTCTATGGAAGAGTGATCCAGCTCTCAGATTCAATCAAAAATATCTTTATTTGTGTTCCGAAGATGAACGAAGGTCTTACGGGGTTGGAACAGCATGTAATTACTAATTACTTAATTTTCATTTTTGGGTTAACTAACCCTTTAAGTGTATTCTGTAAAATAAACCAATTTAGATTTGTATGGCCACAACACACTCCAAGTTGGGGCAGAGGCAAAATAAAAGTGTAAAAAGACTATAGATATCTAAGCAGGGGCGAAAATTTACATACATGACAATAAACATAACAATTCACCTTTGGCTAAGCCCCACTCCCCTTAGTTACTGTTTCTACATCCGTCAAACTTCGTCTGCGCACTGCATAGCTTATGTTTTGGGAAGGGAAAAAACAGACACCCCCCTCCAACCTCTCTGGGAAACACGTATCTGTGTTACAAATGCCCGAGGCACAACCTTTAATCATATTTTGGATAAAACTACGACGGTAATAGCCTGCCGAGACCAAAAATATGAGACGCCTGTGTTGAAAGTCAATGAAGCGCTGTGGAAAAGTGTCCGACCTCTGTGGGGGCTCGTTCTTGGCTGCGCTGTGATTGGTGAATCTACATTCTAGGGCGTGGCTTAGCCAAAGATGAATTCTCAAGAGCAAATTTTGAAGGGGACACCAATAATACAGGCAAAAAACTAAACAAAAAAATACAGAGGAAAGCCTTACTACTATTATTAGTGTAGCATGGAGACCATTTCATTATACTTCTTAAAATTTCTTTCTGGTTTAAACCAGCAGTGAAGCTGTTTACATACTATCCTCACGCAGCGAGCGACTCATTTCATTTCAATCATTGACTCACTCTTTAACTATATTAAATGATATAAACCGACTAAATCACAGTGAAAGCGTTAAAATCTAAATTCACGGCGCACCCCGACTAGTCTAATCTACAAGACTAACGTTACATCACATAGTAGTGTATGTGTACACTCTGTGTGTTTGTGTGTGGGGATATACTGTATTAAACAAGCTAGGTAAACGCATAGACTATTATAAACAAGGAAGGGTAACGTTATAATCGCTAACATAGCAGACTGCATCAGTGGCAAAAGTACATTGGTTACACAATCATATATTTGTTTTTTGACATGATTTATTATAATGACTCAGCATAATCTATATTAAAGAGAAAATAATCACTTCATCCGATGTTTAAAGTGAATAAAATAACATTGACTAAAGGGGGTCGCACGGAGGAGAAGCGCAGCGTCGTGCCGCGTCACGTCTAGGACAACTCCAGGTATCGCACACCGGACGCGCACTTTCTCATCAGTGTATGGCCAGCAATATTGTAATGTTTAATGACATGAAATGAAGATAATGTCTGTTCTATGTTATTATTGTACTGTACAATTAAATACAATCGTTGCTGAGTCTGCAGTCTGAAAACTTTACCTCAGAGCATCCGTTAACTGAATGAATTAAGAATCTCACCTGAAAAATCCAATAACATCAGCAATTATCATTCAAGCAGCTGATTTCTGTAAATGAATACAAAACTAAATGTATATTGCAGCATAGGGCGAAGTCAGGATCTATCAGCACCGATTTGAGACAAAAATAATTTAAATTGTATATAAAACTATGTAAATGGCGCTCTGTGGCGCTGCAGGGTTTTGAACACGGTCCTGAGCCGTCGCTGGGCGCCGCGGACAGTCACCGAATGGCGCCGCCGGTGTGTGTACACTCATAGAGAATAATGTGTTCGAATTTTAAAGACGTGGTGCTGCGCGACGCGACGCTGCGCTTCTCGTCCGGTGCCACAACTACTCAAAAACTACGTTCTTCTCTCCCGCCACCGGAATGTGTGTATCTGAGGTAAAAGGGGCAGAGGCAGTGAACAAACGCAGTGTGAGGCAAGGGAGGGGGGTCTCAAAATGTTTAGAACACTTTTTTTGTTATTGCCCCGTTTGCATTTTTTTAAATTTGATTTCTTAATTATTTTAAGAATATCATTACATTATTTACAATACACATATTTTAATGTTTTTTTTGGGGGGGGGACAACCCTCAGATAGGAGTCGTCCTGAATCCCCCGTTCCCCCCGCGTTTTCCGCCTATGTATCTAAGTTAAACTGTTGAAACAGTCCACAATGGGGAATTGGTAATAGGTGAGCGTATCGTGTTTAGGTATAAAAGGAGCATCCACCAAAGGCCGGTCTTTGCAAGCAAGTCATGGCTTTGTGCCAAATTTCATGAGAGAATTGTCAAACAATTCACCAATCACATTTCTCTATGCAAGATTGCAAAGACTTTATGTTTTTCACCTACTACCATATATAATGTTGTGAAAAGATTCAGGGAATCCAAAGAAATCTCAGTCCGTGTAGGCAGGGCAAGGGCAGGAGACCTCTGTTGAACGTTTGTGACCTTTGACCCCTCTTACAGCATTGAATGAGAAACCATCATGCTACCCTGTTAAATACAGCCACATGTGCTAGGAGTACTTTGGAAAACTGTTATTACTAGGGCTGTCAAAAATAGCGCGTTAACGACGTTAATTCGTTGTTTGTCGTTAATTACGTCAATTTTTTTAACGCATTTCACGCATGCGCAGTGTGACAAATTATTCAGGTCAGGAAAGTGATTGGGACGGGAGCAAGAGGCGAGATGGAGCAAGGTGAGCAAAGTGGGCCTATTGATGGATTCAAATTTAAAAAGAATGATGATGGTACAGTTAACAAGTACAAGGTTATTTGCAAGATTTGTAACAAGGAGTTTCAATTTCACCGGAGCTGTTCAAGCTTGAGGTACCATGTCAACGCCAAACATGCGTTTGCTCGGTCGTCAAGTTCAGCAAGTGGTTCGCGCCAGACCACGCTGAATTTTCGCGGGCCATTAACAAAATCAACCTCAGATAATTTGACCAACAAAATAGCAAAATGGATTGCAAAGGATTGTAGACCCGTTAACATTGTAGAAGACTCGGGTTTCATTGATGTTTTGCGAGTGGCGTCTCAAGACTCATCCTACAGGCCACCGTCAAGAGCCACAGTTATGACGAAAATCCACGAGCTCTATCAAAACGAAAAAGAAAAAAGGAAAGAGGTCTTGGCTCAAGTAAATCATATCGCCCTGACAGGAGACCATTGGACATCATTGAATAACAACAATTACCTCGGAGTAACTGCACATTTCATCAGTGACACATGGGAACTGAAGTCTTTTGCGCTGACTATATTAAAAACTGAGGAGCGTCACTTTGCGGAGGCTTGTAAAGAACAGTTCTTGTCTGTTGCACGTAAGTGGGACATCGAGGGCAAGACGACAACAATTGGGACTGACAGTGCACGCAACATGGTTGCCGCAATTCGACTTACACGCTATGAACACATGAACTGTGTCGCTCACATGGTGCAGAGAAGTGTCACGGTGAGTCTTGCTGACAGCGGCTTTGTAAATGCTTTGGCGAAGGCTCGCAAAGTTGTCGGTCATTTTAAGCACAGCCCAGCAAATGCTGCGGAGCTTCAAGCACAACAAGTCAGTCTGGGAAAGAAGCAAGAGCCATTAATCCAGGATGTTCCAACACGTTGGAATTCGACGCTGGAAATGGTCAAGCGCGTGAGCAGAAATAAAGAGGCTGTCATCGCAGCCCTGGACAAACAGGATCACAAACTCGTTTTGCCGACCGCAGCAGAGTGGGATAAACTGCAGAGGCTGGAGACACTTCTAGAGCCATGCAGGTAAATCAGTCTGTAACTTATTAAATAACATTGCTTTGATTATTTCCTGGAATTAATTAAACCAAGTCAAATATCAATAACATGTATGTAAATAATAATAATTATAATGATAATGATGATAATAATAATAATAATGATATTTTGATAACCACTGTTCAAATAATAGACTGTCTCTGTGTGCATGTGTGTGCGTAGGTATGTAACTGAGCTCCTGGGTGGAGAGGCCTATGTCTCCTGTTCTGTGGTACTACCTTCTCTCTGTCACTTGCGTCTCAAGATGGAAGCCTGTGATGAGGACCCTGCATATGTGGTGAGATTCAAGACCAAGTTCAAGGAGGACCTAGCATCCCGTCAAGAACAGCTCAACAATGCATGGCTCCAGATTGCTACAGTTTTGGATCCTCGTTTCAAAGACTTGAAATGCCTGCCTAAGACAGACAGGGAAGCGGTGTGGACCACACTTGAACGGATGCTGCAACAAGAATCACCCAGAAAGTCTTCACAGACACATGATGATGGGCCACCCAGAAAGAAAATCAGCCTTCTGCAAATGGGCTCAGATTCTGAATCAGAAGATGAAGAGGTCCAACCTGCCATACAGAGGTACAGAGCAGAGCCCACCATTAAATTGGAGGACTGCCCCTTGAGGTGGTGGGCATCTCATTCAGGAGCCCATGAGAAGCTGGCCTCACTAGCTCACAAATATCTAGCCACTCCTGCAACCACTGTTCCCTGTGAACGACTTTTCTCAGTTGCAGGTCACATTGTGAACAAGAAAAGATCAGCTTTACTTTCAGAAAACGTGAACAAGTTAGTTTGCCTCAGCAACTGGCTGAAAGATGATGAAGCTCAGTAGATTTAAAAGGTGATGTTCAAACAAAAAGACCAGTTTCAGTGCAACATGTTATAGTAGTTAGCAACTGGATTTTTGAGCAACTGGATTAAAGAATGGAGGAAAAGTTAAAAGATTGTTCTTTCTTTGGTTTGATTAAAAGTTTTATTTGAAAATGTTTTTTTCCACATAAAAACGCAACAGATGACTCAAATTGTGCAAAAATATGGTAGGTCACTGTTATGATTTGACTACATTTATTGCTTTCTCTGTTCAATTGAATGCTGTAAATTGTACATCCTGGTTAAGAGGAATGCGATGGGACATTACAAAGACAAATATTATGGTGTGTAGTATGTTTCAGCTTGATTTAAACCACCATTATTGGCTGTGTTAATAAACAGACATATTATGAAAATTATATATCTTGTCCTTTTTTTTTATCTTTTGGTATGCATTTCAGAAAAAAATGGTTAGGATTCAGGTGTAATTGCAAATAGTGATTAATCATGATTAATCCACAAAAAATTCTGATTAATTTGATTAAAAATTTTAATCATTTGACAGCCCTAGTTATTACTTAACACAGTCTGCAACTGCATCAAGAAATCCAACTTGAATCTATGTTACACAAGGACAAAGCTATACATCTGTTCAATGCAGCATTTTATGTACCCCAGCTCCTCTCAGATTATCAAAAATCACAGTGGAAATGTGTTCTGTGAGTCCATGTTTCAGCTTGTTTCGGGGAAAAAAAATGCTTTTGAGTTTTCAGTCCCAAAGACAAAAAGGACCATCCAGACTTTCATCAGTGAAAGGTACAAAGCAAATTTCTGTGTTATGGGGGTGCATCAGTGCAAACGGCATGAGTGTGAAAGCACCACTGGCGTGGATGCATATATTAAGTTTGTACAGAGACATATAGAGCCATCAAGATGATATCTATCCTGGGCAGCAAGACAATGCCAGGCCTCATTCATCATGTGCTACAACAGAGTGGTTTTGAAGACACTCTACACCATAGCGTGGATGTGCTTGACTGTCTGCCTTGAGTCCAGATCTGATTCTTCTTAAAACTTGCACATTCATGAAAAAAAAATTGAAAAAAAATTCCCCCATGGACTGCAGCTATCTTGTATCAGGTGATATAGACCCCTTTTGCGCCGACGTCACAGTTACGTCACTGCGCTAGCTGCAGGCAAAACAAAGTGAAAACTGGAGGCGGTCAATGCAAAACAGCACAGATTCGGCTACATAATAAGGAGCTTAAATAATTGTTACTATTATTAAATGTCATCTTGTTGTGTTGTTTGGTGCAAGAATTGATGAAAAATGAATATGCTGTATCTGGAACTTTTATTTCTCGAAAATATTCACATCATTAAAATCGCACTGTAATGTCACTCTTTACATTGTCGTGGTCTCGGCGCTGGCTCAGCAGAACTGCGGATCATACACACAAGTCTTGTACAGGACCATATAGGCATCTAAAGATTTGTATGCCTCAGTTTCTCTTTACGATCGGTTTCTCTATAAGGTAGGTGTAGAAGTCAGGCCACTCAACCGAGGTAACGTACGTTAATCCTGTCAGATCGTCCATGCATTGAGTGAGCGTGTAGGCGGCTACAGGTTGGCCAATCTGGTTCCGTCCGTTAAAAATAACTTTTGGAAATAACAATCGCGGTCCTGGACACTGAGTGACCTTACACATTAAGATAATATCGGATTTTCTCCAGTCATTGTTAAAAAACAAGCTAACAATCCTTGCTAACTAGCGTTAGTGGGGCGCTGTTCAATGGCGACACGCAGCAGCAGTTGTGCGCAGTGTTTGTTTGTTTGTTCTATTTTGTGTGACTAATGTAACAAATAGTTCATTGTTTTTTTCAAACCTGACTTGTTGGAAAACAATGTCTTACCTCAGAGTGACTGGCCTTCTACTCATTTTGACGCTATTTGGTCACTTTATGCGAGTGCCCTGTTTGGATTACCATCTCCGTTACAATCGGGAGTTCCTACTGTCACTTCGGAACACAGGATTCGTAGACCCAGCTGGAAATTTTCCGGCGGATATCATTGGGCATGGTCCTTCCAATGGAGACCAGGGAACAAGGCCAACAAGAGTGAGGAAACGAGGCAGCCGTGGCGGAGTCCGTCGGAGGCTCAAAAGACAGGGTCATCGGAGGATCCCTCTCCCCTCAATAATCCTTGTCAATGTACAATCTCTCCGGAGTAAGGTGGACGAACTCCAAGCAAATGCCAGATTTGTATCGGACTACAGGAATGCATGCCTTATTGCACTGACGGAGACGTGGCTTAAAGAGCAGGATCTACAACCCGATTTGGAAATCGATGGCTTTGGAGTACCGTTGCGACTTGACAGGGATCCGGCAGCAACAGGAAAATCACTCGGTGGTGGTCTATGTTTATATGTAAACAAGAGTTGGTGTAACACAGTTACGGTCAGAGAAACTGTGTGCGCCCCTGACATTGAACTTTTGTCTGTCTCTCTCCGTCCTTATTATTTGCCAAGAGAGTTTCCACAGATATTTGTCACACTCGTATATATTCATCCGAGAGCAAACGCGGAGAACGCATCAAAGACAATTGTAATTAAAGCTGCAAGCAGCGATGGGCGGGCCCTCGCACCTGTAGCGTGTCGGGGTGTGAGGCGGCCGCGTTGCATATTTTCCAGCTCAGCCAGTGCGGCTGTGAATTTGCTATGCTGCTTCGTTAAAGGTCACTTCCTATTGCCAGCAGGTGGCGCTATGAATGTGGGTGAATGTCGGCATGTAGATTTGTTCAGGGCGGGACTCTTGTGAAATGTGCAAAATTTTGTGCAGATCTGGGCATTTACAGCCAAGTTACTACAACTTCCTCTTTCATGGCGAATCATCGACGCCACGGACACGCCCATCGACGAAAACAAGCAGATAGCACAACTTTACATCGTCAATGCCTTTAGAAGGCACAGCAGAAATGTGAAGTCGATCTGAGTAAATCCCTGGGAGGAGTTAGTTAAAGTACGTAATGAGTAAATCATCCAAAAATGTTGGTAAAATTAGAAATGGCCGACTTCCTGTTGAGTTTAGGGCATCACTCCAAGAGACTTTTTTGTGCGTCTGGATGTGGTAGATGTATCACAGAAATTTCGTACATTTCGGTCAAACATGCGGTGGGGGCTGCTTCGTTAAATGTCACTTCCTGTTGCCAGCAGGTGGCGCTATGAATGTGAGTGAATGTCGGTGTGTAGATTTGTTCAGGGCGGGACTCTTGTCAAATGTGTAAAATTTGGTGCAGATCTGGGCATTTACAGCCAACTTACTACAACTTCCTGTTTCATGGCGAGTCATCGACGCCACGGACACGCCCATTGACGAAAACGCGCAGATAGCACAACTTTACATTGTCAATCCCTTTAGAAGGCACAGCCAAAATTTGAAGTCGATCCGACTAAATCCCTAGGAGGAGTTCGTTAAAGTACGTAATGAGTAAATCATCCAAAAATGGCAGTAAAATTAGAAATGGCCGACTTCCTGTTGAGTTCAGGGCATCGCTCCAAGAGAGTTTTCTGTGCGTCTGGACATGGTAGATGTACCACAGAAATTTCGTACATGTCGGTCAAACATGCGGCGGGGGCTGCTTCGTTAAAGTTCACTTCCTGTTGCCAGCAGGTGGCGCTATGACTGTGGGTGAATGTCGGCATGTAGATTTGTTCAGGGCGGGACTCTTGTCAAATGTGTAAAATTTCGTGCAGATCTGGGCATTTACAGCCAAGTTACTACAACTTCCTGTTTCATGGCGAATCATCGACGCCACGGACACGCCCATCGACGAAAACGCGCAGATAGCACAACTTTACATCGTCAATGCCTTTAGAAGGTACAGCAGAAATTTTAAGTTGATCCGACTAAATCCCTAGGAGGAGTTCGTTAAAGTACGGAGTGTGTAAATCGTCCCAAATCGGTCGCCAAATTCAAAATGGCGGACTTCCTGTCGAGTTTAGGGTATGGGTTCTTGAGGCTTTTTTGTGCGTCTGGTCATGTTAGAAGTACCACAGAAATTTCGTACATGTCGGTCAAACAAGCGGCGGGGGCTGCTTCGTTAAAGGACACTTCCTTTTGCCAGCAGGTGGCGCTATGACTGTGGGTGAATGTCGGCATGTAGATTTGTTCAGGGCGGGACTCTTGTCAAATGTGTAAAATTTCCTGCAGATCTGGGCATTTACAGCCAAGTTACTACAACTTCCTGTTTCATGGCGAATCTTCGACGCCACGGACACGCCCATCGACGAAAACGCGCAGATAGCACAACTTTACATCGTCAATGCCTTTAGAAGGCACAGCAGAAATTTTAAGTCGATCCGACTAAATCCCTAGGAGGAGTTCGTTAAAGTACGGAGTCTGTAAATCGTCCAAAAATGGCCGCCAAATTCAAAATGGCGGACCTGCTGTCGAGTTTAGGGTATGGGTTCTTGAGGCTTTTTTGTGCGTCTTGATATGATACACGTCCCCACCAAATTTCGTGCATGTAGGTTGAACGTGGACGAGGGGCTAATTTTTTCCAATTTTCTAGGTGGCGCTAGCGAGCCATTTTGCCACGCCCATCCGCGAAACCCACAAAATACGAAATTTTTCACCAGTCCTGACATGCGTGCCAAATTTGGTGAGTTTTTGAGCATGTTGCGGCCCCGAAAATGGCGCTTACTTTGCAGAAAAAAAAAAAAAAAAAAAAAAAAAAAAAATAATCCTAACAGTTTCAATAGGGTCCTCGCACTGTTAGTGCTCGGGCCCTAAAAACGGTGCAAAGGTTACAAAGCATCTCCCCTGACGCGCCAAATTTTATAATGGGCGATTTTAACCACTGTAGACTTGGTAAGTCGCTTAGTAACTTTTCTCAATATGTTACCTGCCCTACAAGACATATGAAATGTTTAGATCTCTGTTATGGCACCATCAAGAAAGCTTACAGGTCATTTAGTAGAGCTCCTCTAGGTCTATCTGACCACAACGTTGTTTACTTGGTTCCGGTTTACAAAACTTTTCCAAGGAGAACAAAACCTGAACGACGTTTGGTTTCGGTCTGGTCTGATGAAGCTACACAGGAACTATTGGACTGTTATTCATGCACAGACTGGGACTTATTTAAGGAAGTGTGTTCTGATTTGGATGAACTTGTTGAGACTGTTTCTGCTTATATAAAGTTCTGTGAAAATGAAATAATTCCTAAAAAAGCTATTTCAATTTTTCCAAATAACAAACCATGGGTGTCTAAATCTGTTAAGCATCTTATTAATCAGAGAAATATTAGTTTTATGCAGGGGGATGCCATAGCCTTTAATAATCTGCAGAAGCAAGTTAAGAGGGAGCTAAAACAAGCTAAACTTAAATATAAGGATAAAGTTGAATCCCATTTGAGCAGTGGCCAGTCTCGCCCTGCATGGGATGGGGTGAAGTCAATGATGGGCTTGCAATCCAATAAATATAAAACCCTCTCCTTTGATGGCAAGACAGAGTCTGATCTGGCAGATGTGTTGAATATTTTTTATAATCGTTTCAATATTTATGATTTTACTAAAGAATTATCCGTGTTCAAGGAACCATGGGCAGAACAAACTGTGGCCATAAAAATAGATAAGGATAGAGTTAAAAAAATTCTTAAGGGGGTGAAGGAAAGAAAGAGCCCTGGCCCAGACAATATTGGTGGCCGCCTTATTAAAAGCTGTGCAGAGCCACTGTCGGACATACTTGCCTTTATATTTAATAAGTCACTTCAGTTACATCGGGTCCCTCACCTATGGAAAGAGTCAGTGATTGTGCCGGTGCCAAAGATAAATGTACCCAAATCACTCAACGATTTTAGGCCAGTGGCTCTTACCTCTCTTATTATGAATCCTTTGAGAAAATTATTAAACAGGAGATTATAGCAATGACAAAGTCTCAACTTGATCCCTTACAATTTGCCTATAGAGCAGGTAGAGGAGTTGAGGATGCATTAGGCAGCCTGCTAAATACAGTCTTTAATCATTTGGAAGGGACGAACAAATTTGTGCGATTGTTATTTATTGATTTTTCATCAGCTTTTAACTGCATTCAACCCCACATTTTAGCAGAAAGACTTTTAAAGAACTACAACATTAACCCAGGTCTAACAGCCTGGTTAGTTGACTTTTTAACTTTAAGATCTCAAAAAGTTAAGGTTAATGGTGTCTTATCTGATAAACTTTTATCTTCTACTGGCTCCCCCCAAGGATGTGTCCTCTCTCCTCTTCTTTTTGTTATACACAAACGAATGCCGGTCGCACTATGATGATAGACAGATTTTAAAATTTGCAGATGATTCTGTCATTGTGTCTCTTTTAAATGAAAATGTGATTGATCATGGTCCAATATTGAAGGATTTTAATGAGTGGTGTAAGTGTTCCTTTTTAAATATAAATGTGTCCAAAACGAAAGAACTAATTATAGATTTTAGGAAACAGAGGGCATGTCTCCCCCTTACTATCATTGACGGCCAGCCCATCGAGGTGGTACAGGAATACAAGTACCTTGGTACAACAATTGACAGTAAGCTATGTTTTGATTCTCACATTGATGCTGTTTGTGCTAAAGCCCAGCAACGAATGTATTTTCTTCGTAGATTGAGGAATTTTAACATTGACCGCACCTTGATGAAAGTGTTTTATTCCTGTTTTCTTGAGTCTGTTTTAACTTTTTGTTTTATCTGTTGGTTTGGTTCCTTGTCTGCAAGGAACAAAAACCGACTAGAGAGCATTGTCAGAACATGTGGCAAGATTGCAGGTATTAACTTTCCTCTCCTCTCCCACATCTACTCCAACAGAGTAGCCAAGAAGGCTCTAGCTATTGCAGCTGACCCCAGCCATCCTTTGTCCTGCCAGTTTAAGCTACTCCCCTCAGGTCGTAGGTACTCCATGACCAAATGCAGGTCAAATAGATATAGAAACTCTTTTATCCCGACTTCAATCTCAATATTAAATAAACTACCAGAACTGTTTTAATGTACTTCTATTTATTTTATTTATTTATTTATTTTATTTATTTATTCATTTATTTTTTATTTTTTTAAATTTTTTTAAATTTTTATTTTATTTTTTGATGTATTTTTGGGGACTGTGTGTTTTATGCCTTGTGGTAATGTTGCGTGTTGTGCCTTGTGTTTTTCTGCTGGCTGTACAAATAATTGCCCTCCGGGGACAATAAAGTAACCTTAACCTTAACCTTAGTGAAGTGGCCAGATGGATCTTTCTGCCTCCACCTAAGCTCCGCCCACAAAAAAACGTCACCATGTTTACCAACGGTAAAAGGGTCTATTGGACAACAATTTTACTTGCAAAACTTAACAGTAAGCATCCTTAAGCAAACATTTAACAAGTGTAATTAAAAGGAAAGGTGATGTAACACATGACTCTGTCCCAACTTTTTTGGAGTGCGTTGCTGCCATAAAAATATAAATTGTTTATTTAAGTTGGTTGATGAAAACTTTTAGTCAGTTAAATAAAGATTAAAGATAATTAACAAATCACAGATTCTTGAATGTCCCAACTTTTCTGGATTTGCGGTTGTACTTTCTATACAGTCCATTAAGTTCATAAATGTCATTCAGCTTCTTAGATACCTCATTAACATTAAACATTAAGATGTGTTGTCCACCATAAATCATCTATGTAGATCACATCATCTTTTTTTTCTTCTTCCAGATTTTCTAAAGAAGAAATTGGAGGACTATGTTGCAACTCTGGAGGTTCCAGTCCGGATTTTGAGGATGGAACAACGATCCGGTTTGATTCGAGCGCGGCTGAGGGGTGCAGCTGCCACGCGAGGTCAGGTCATCACATTTCTTGATGCCCACTGTGAGTGCACTATAGGCTGGCTAGAGCCACTGCTGGCCCGAATCAAAGAGGACAGGTGAGTGAACACTACACTCCTGAGTCTAGAACTTTGAATTCTATCCACCTTATTTTTATCGTAAGAGTTGGCACTGCCATGTGTAACTTGAATGCGTGTGGCTTCTGGTGTTATTTGCATTGTTTTACCGATTACACTTTATCTCTATAGTACACTTTAGACATTATATTTACTATAACTTAAGCAACCTTTTTTTCAACTAACTGTAGACTTGGAATTAAAGCCTCTTGTGTTTCCCCGTTATTATTCAATTTACGGGACCGGACACCAGTTATCTTGCCAAGAAAGTTTTATTATATATTATGTCAGGAGAGAAACTTCAAGATGTTGTGTTCATGCCTGGTCTATGCGTTTCTCCATGTTCCTCTACCCTCTCACCCGGTCATGCCTACATGTTTCTCTAAGGGTGGTACAATGTGACATTGAGTTTTTATACATCACACAGTCTTACAGCTTCCTTGTAAGGTAACAAACATGTTGCTCTGAGCCTCTCAACTTAGAACGTAAATGTCATACGTGCGCTACTTTCCTTGTTGTGTACATCTGTGGTACACTTGCATCAGTGGAAACATTTATGCTGAGTGAACATGTTACATGGCACACATACCTCTCTGAGCAATATATAGCTTTCCCCTGACATATGTTCATCTCATGCTTTTAACTCATGCTTTTTGAAACTCCAAAAGGATAATACAGTGATCATGAAAACTAATAAAGAATAATAATACAGATACATAATATTTAATAATGAAATAATATTAAAAGATGAAATTTTAGTCTTCATCTCCCTCCACTGGAACTATGGCGCCATAAGTTCCACACCATCATCCCCAGGTGGCCAACCTATAGAAGTGATAGTGAGGAGAAGAAATAGCAGACCAAGAAAATAGACAGAACGAACAGAAGAATAGAAACAGAAAAACAAAACAAAGAACAAAAAGAACAAAACCCCAACCCGTGTTATGTCCCCGTATACTATGTGTGTTTTAATATCTATGTGTATGTATTTAAAATGAACCCCAATCATCTAAGAAAAGAAAAAACTAATAATTCTTCTGCTCGTGCCTGGACTCATTAATTAATTAACTCGTAACTAATTAAATCCCCCAGTTCCGAGCCAAAATAAGAAATTAAAATAAACGTTGATTTTAAAGGGTCCTATCCCTTGGGGTTGAGAATCAGCAAGCGGGTGTTCATTGTTTGTGAGGTAATGTTTTGTAAGGAATACATAATAACTTGCAACCATCTTTAATAAATGTCAATGGAATTGATTCCTGAAATGGAAGCAGAAAAATAGTTAGCATCACTTATTTGTTCCCAATCTTTAAAACTAATCGATGAACATTGCTCAGTCTCAACAGTTTGTTTATTCACTAAGCAAGGTTTAACTTGTGACCAATGATACCATCTATCTGTTCCTACACCCTTCCCTTTGAGACAAACACTTGTATGTTAAGAGTATCTCATACTCCTTCCCATCTAGGCTCTAAACCCTTCCTAGCAATTCGTTTGATCATAACAAAACTGCCTATCTCGGGAATGTGTGGAATGTCAGTAGTGGTGTGTTTTTCATCCCATTGCTGTTGAGCTTCTCGTACTTTCTTATTATTGTCCATGATTACAAGTATATACTGATACCCTCCACTAGGTGATAAAGGTCCTGTGAAATCAATTTGGAGATGTGTCCACGGACCTGCTGGTCTAGGTGCATGTGACATTCGCACCTTTACAGATTTTCCCACATTTGCTTTGAGGCATATCAAACATCTCCTACAATAATCATCAATGTCTCTCATCATTCTTGGCCACCACCAAGTTTCACTGATTTGAGCTTTCATTGCTTTTGCTCCAGCATGCACTTTTCCATGATACAGCTGCATTAGTTCTCTTCTTGTTCTGATAGGCATCACTACTTGTCCTGTTGGAATTCTCCAGATTCCTTGATCATCCTCTTTCGCTCCCGCTTTTATCCATTGTTCTTTCTCTTCATCTGTCTCCAATTGATATGACAGAAGATGGAGCTCAGGATTATCCTTGGTATTTTCCTTTACCAGGGTAACAGGAGTAGGATGGAGTAGAGCTGCTTCTCTAGCTGCTGCATCTGCTGCCGTGTTTCCTTGAGTTTCTTTGGACTTGTCAGATTGATGTGATTTCACTTTGATCACGGCTGCTTTTCTAGGTAAGTGACATGCTGTAATTAAGCGACGAATTATGGAAGCATGTTGTATTTCGCTCCCATTGCTGGTGATGAGTCCACGTCTCTTCCACAGGGCAAGGTAGTCATGGACCACACCAAAAGCGTATCGACTATCTGTATAGATGTTGACTCGTTCTCCTTCAGATAATTCAAGAGCTTCTGTAAGTGCTATGAGCTCGGCTACTTGTGCTGAAAGCTTGCCAGGAAGAGCTCCTTTCTTCACAACAGTTCCATCAGCTTGCACTACAGCCCATCCAGTGTGTCGTTTTCCATCAACATAGTAACTGGATCCATCAACCCATAACTCCTTGTCTGGATTTTCAAGAGGGATTGGATTAACAGGACCAAGACTTTCTTCTTCTACTTGTTTTTCACACTCATGTGGTGTTCCCTCGTGTGGTTCGATCATCATTGTTGCAGGGTTAAGGGATGTGTCTCTGATCCATAATTACAAGCTGGTGTACAGCGCAGCATGTCTCTGTTGGGATGAACTGTTTTAGATCTTGTTATTATTGGAGCTGCTTGTGCAGATGCAATATACATTTTGTCAACTGGACCATTTGATCTCAAAGCTTGAGGCTGTGTCAGTGGTTTAGAGGAACTTGTACATTGTTCAGGCAAAACTGGATACATTGGGTTGTAAGGAGGAGGCGTTACAGTGGTTGCAGATTTCACTGGTGCTTGTGAATATCTCTTTTCAGCTTCAGTTATTATATTTGTCCAATCTGGATCAAATGAATTATCATTGGTTGTGTTTTCTTTATCTGAACAGTTAATAGACATAATTTTGTTCAATTTGTGAAATGCTTCAAATTGAGGCTTCATTGCTTCAAAAAGTGGGGCTGGACATCCATCAATGCCACAGAAGATTCCACCTTGTTTCACAATCCAATGAGCTGCCAGTATTGGAAATGCTTTTGACTTGATGGAGTCTTTTTGCGAATCAAACCAGCTTAGCTGCACATCCAAAGATGCATTAACATCCAGTCCTTTTTTCAAAAGCTTAGCTTGCTTTTTCTGTTTTCTTTTTAAATACCAATCAGCAATTGTTCGGCTGTTAAGACCACTTTCTGCCATTGCAAATTATTTGTCACTCTGTGACTGTGCACTCAAACAGCAGGGATATTTTGGGAGTGAGTGTGTGTGTGTGTGTGTGGATGTATATCTACTGTGCGTGAATTCCAGGGGGGGGGGGGGGGGGGGCCCTCTGCTTCTCCCTCTCTCTCTGCTTCTCTCCTTCTCTCCCTTTCGCCTTCTCTTATAACTCAAAGAACAAAGAAGGGGAAAGGAAAAAAAACAAAAAAACAAAAACAAAACAAAGTTAACTCTAATAATTTGTTTTCTTTGTGTATTTGTTTGCTCTATTTTTTATTTTTAAATTTTTTTTTAGTTTATTTGAAGTTGCTCTCAGATCAACCTCTTCCTCTCAATACTGAACAGCTTATTGTCAAAATCGAAAAAACACACAATTCTAGCTCCTATTTCCATTGATACCCATCTTCTAAGGGCTCAATCAGCGTGTTTAAAATTTTAGGGCGCCTGTATTTCTAAATACGGAATCCTGTGCGTCCTATAGCACAGACCCGCCACTTTAAACCGCTATAAATCACCGCTTTGACACACTATCCTCGTTTTCTAAAACGATTCTTCGGTGTGTTGGAAATATTTTAGAGATTAATCTGCCATCAGTTTTTACAGTCTCGCCATATTCCAACCACCTTCCAGTCATGCCAAGCAAATTGCTAAATCGCTTTACTGCTATTCCAAATATTTGACTAAATGGTCTTTTTTCTAAAAAAGATCCACTTTTCCTAAAGTCTTTTCAAAAATGAAAAAGACTTCCCCAGCATCATTCAATATTTCAGAGGTTTACTGAACAGAGCAACTCAAATAAGCCTCATCAAATTCAAACTATTTAAATTATTTTCCTTTTTCTGACACATATATTCATTGGCAAAACAACTGGTACTTTAAACAACACAGTTCTTTTAAGCAGTTTCAGTCAATGTCCAATCATCAGGCAGACTTCAAATTATTTTTTAGAATAGGAAAAAGTCTTACCTTGAATGATTGAGACAAATGCCTGAATGCTATCCTGTTCGTGACGCCAAATGTAGACTTGGAATTAAAGCCTCTTGTGTTTCCCCGTTATTATTCAATTTACGGGACCGGACACCAGTTATCTTGCCAAGAAAGTTTTATTATATATTATATATATGTCAGGAGAGAAACTTCAAGATGTTGTGTTCATGCCTGGTCTATGCGTTTCTCCATGTTCCTCTACCCTCTCACCCGGTCATGCCTACATGTTTCTCTAAGGGTGGTACAATGTGACATTGAGTTTTTATACATCACACAGTCTTACAGCTTCCTTGTAAGGTAACAAACATGTTGCTCTGAGCCTCTCAACTTAGAACGTAAATGTCATACGTGCGCTACTTTCCTTGTTGTGTACATCTGTGGTACACTTGCATCAGTGGAAACATTTATGCTGAGTGAACATGTTACATGGCACACATACCTCTCTGAGCAATATATAGCTTTCCCCTGACATATGTTCATCTCATGCTTTTAACTCATGCTTTTTGAAACTCCAAAAGGATAATACAGTGATCATGAAAACTAATAAAGAATAATAATACAGATACATAATATTTAATAATGAAATAATATTAAAAGATGAAATTTTAGTCTTCATAACTCTCATTAATTTGCAACTACATGTCAACTGTTATACTTTTATAAACTAAAAAGTGGGCCAGTTTAGTCCCAAGTAGTATTGAACTAGTAGTATACTTACAAG